TCAACAACTACCGGCGCCTTACAAACGACTTATCCATGACGGAAACGAAACCGACAAACGGACTTCTAACAGACCGACTTAACAATACACGGACTAAAAACCGACCTATTTGGCCAACAATAGACGGATCGAAACCCACCAATGACTGATGACAAACTTTACACGAGTCTTTCAGCCACTACCATCATGGCTATACTGACCAATCACGTCGAAACGTCACGGTCACCAGCAATAGTCCTTTTCAGAACTGCACTCACCCGGACGATCACACTATACGAACTACTCATTTCTAGTTTTCCCATATTGTGGGCAATTTTTTCGTCGGCAAATTTTCCACCCACAATAAGTCACCCAGCAAATATGTTCTTCAGGAACCAATGTACTCATCCACGGCTTTAAAGGCCTTGAATATTTTCAGTTTCGAGTGCGTGCATAGCATGAGAACTAGCCGTGTTCGGTTGTTAAATTTGTCCATTTTTTTGCAAGGTAATTTGATAACAGACGAGATCCATAAACTTGAAAAAGAAACAAAATTAAAACCCGGCACCAACATTCCCTAATATGAACCGAACAAGGTAAGCATTAATTATTTATTATGATGGCTCTTTTTCTCCGAAAGTCCTAAGTTTAAATTTTGCATATAAGACAATTTAAAAAGTAAGAGTTTGTTTGGACTTTCTGCCGATAAATAATGTCGAAATCACGAAATAAATTTCACGAAGCTGTATCTGGTGTTGCTTTCTATCGTTACGTTCTATTTCTAGGAGCTTTGAACGATTCTTAGTCAATATATCTCATCATTAGTATTATAAAACAAGCAAAGTCGGAAAGACGTCGAGTCGACACGATGTGTCGGCGTTCGCAAATTGCTCAAATTGTACCGCGACAACGGCTTCCGCTGCCAATTTACGTCCTAATTGCAAGTGTTTAATAATAACAGTTCTGTAAAATGAAATTGCACATACCTTGCTTCTTGACGGAATTGGCAGCTCCATAAGACTCAAATACCATTTTGAAATTGCCGCCATGAATACGTGAAACAACATTGACCAGATAAACGCGGTCGGAATTGGGTACCAGGGTAAAAGAATACCTGAACGTGGAGGGGCGCGTTACTTTTGTCAGCGCATAATTTGCTACAACACAACCGTGTGAGGAAAAAAATCATTCCTCCTGTCTCTTGTCCGCAAGCAAATTATCCACAGAGTTATTTACATTATTTAATTATATACTTCACGCGCAAATACTTGAATTTCTTTTCTAACAGGGCATGGTAACGAATCTTGCAATCCGATTGGTTCTTAGCGCGGCCTTCATGGCGGAAAAACGTACTGCGCAGCTTTCTGCGCATACCTAGCCCCACTTTCGAGCTCAGGTAATAATGCAAGTTGCAATGGTTTCGTAATGGTCGGAAAGAGCGGTGGCATGTACCAAGGTACGCGAGGATGTCGTTCGGTTGATTTATTTATACTTGAGCAAGCTAGAATGTTGCTGCCTACCAGAAAAATGACAAAAGCAAATTAAAGAAAGTTCGTAACTTCTTTTGTTTAAAAGATGAACGAAATTCCCGCCATCTCTTCGAATTTGGGAGCCTGGCGCGCAGCCAAAACTCGCGAATGCTTATTACGTTTTGCCGCTCTGAAAGCGCGGCCGGGATTCAACCTAGTTTCCAGGGTCTGTCATCGGTCCGTGTAGTGAAAAACTGTGACCTCGTACTTGAAAATGCTGCCCTCAGCCTGCGGCTTCGATCAGAATTTCAAGACCTCGGTCGCAGTTTTTCGCTACACGGACCTCCCAGCCGGCCAATGTCATATATATGTGGTCCACACTTTCGTCTTCTCTTCTTTTCTGCTATAGTGTTTTCGCATGACGTCACGGCAGCCATATTGGTGTCCCAAAACAATGAAACGGCGGCCATGTTGGTGAACCAAACCAACCCCGTAGGAGTCGAACTCTTTTCTTATGTTAAACACTTTCTTTTGTTTCAATATTTTTGTATGGCTGCTGGCCACGTGGGTGAAAACGATCCATACGAGCGTGGCTTTTCCCTTAGAGATTGACGAAGTTGAAGGGATCAATCATTTTCATATTCTACAGACACCTCTAAAATACCGTGTTCTTTCTTTTTTCTAGCGTTTATTAATTAGCATGTGAACGATTTGTCCTCAGTTTCTGTGTCAGTGCATGTCTGTCGAGTAAATTTGTTAGCTCGATTACGATGCATTTCGAAGGAGACTAGGTCACGCAAAGCCATAGCCGATGCCACGCTAACCCACGCCGATGTCACGCTTAGCCACAGCCGATGACAAGCTAAGCCACAACCGATGTCACGCTTAGCCAAAGAACCACTAACCTCAGTAACTCACGCTATGTCACAGTACATCACGCAAAGCCACAAACAATGTCACGCTACGTACACATGTAAGTAACAGTAGCTTAAATCACAACAGGGCAAAATCACAACTGGTTAAGCTAAGCCAGAGTAAGTCACGTTGACTCGCACTTGGTCACAATAGGTCACGCAAACTCATAGTAGGTCACGCTACCTTAAGCGAGTGTTACCTTTCTTTTTAATAGGGAGCTTAAGCAACAACGAGGACGACGTCGAGGACGACGCCTAGTCAAAAATACATTTACATTTTATCAGCGAAATTCGCGATTGCCTAGATCTGTTCAGTACGCCTATGGCTCTAAAAACGTGCTCAGGCTAAATATGCAGTAACAGCATTCAATTCCAAATGGAAATACGAGAAATTAGTCGTCGTCATCCGCGTTCCTCAGACGACGCAGAACTTGGTTATTTCACGTTGTTGTTTTGCAGAGGACGGCTAAGAAATGAACAAAGACTTATAGGCCATGTACACAGCCACTGTTTTGCTCATTAAACCTTTTGCTTGGTGACGTTCTCGTTGCAGTCGTCGTGGTTAGCTTAAGCTCCCTATTTAAGTACTGAATCTGAGCTTTAAAATGTTTTACTCGCGTAATAACAAAAATCCTCGCTAGAGAATACATGAACCTAAATTTGATTTCTGCTGGAGACAGCTGTTCTTGACGTCGGAAATTTTGCATTACCTTGGCTAATTCTGACCATCCCTATTTCTCTGTTTGTTTACGTACCTAATTTTGAGTTTTGATAACAAAACGAGAAATCTGAGCTCCACAACACAGCATAGCCTGGCACCTTCCGTAAACGTAAAATGCTCATCGTACATCACTTTTCATTCGAAACCTTTACACTCAATTTTAAAAACCTATATCACAATCTACACAGCACCTAGATATCACCGAAACAAAAGCAAAAAAAAAAAAACTATCTTATACCTTTACACCAATAGAGCGGTTTTCATTTGACTGTCGAATGCAATTGGCATTTGCTTTGGTTTTGCGTCACTACGCCAAGCGATTGGCTTAAAAAACTCCCGCCACTTTGCAATCCAATCGCAACTGAGTACAACCAAAACCAATTGTGACTCGCTCGCACGCGTTTTCCCACGCTTTGCTTCGGCCACATGTATTTGCAACGCGTTTGATTGGTTCACTGGATTGGCTGTGTAACTGTGATTAGCCAGAGACATAACTTTGGTTTTAGTTTTATGACACTCAATTGAAATCGCTCCAATCTAAAAAAAAAAATTGAAAGTAATAAACGCACATAGCCACACGGTTTTTTTTGTTTAAAATGTCCGCCTTGGTCTGTTATACTTCCCTTGTTCCTAGATGCAGCGTATTTTTACTATTCAATACAGTTTTCTTGAAGTCCATTCTGAATCACCAGCCGGCATATTACTAGGGTCGAAATACAGTAACACAGCACGGCCTGCGTCGAGCAAGCTCCTACTTCGTGACTTTCTTCATGGAATGTCCTTCATTATCCAGTTAGCCTTGGATGTTATGATATAATTCTTCAAGTTTATATTTCCTGACAGTCAAATGTAGACGTCGCGTTGATTCAGAACATATTTACTGCAGAACAAGTCCAACCTAGCGACAGAATTACAACACTGTTACGACTTTGTTAATTTTTTTTCCTTCAAAATAAAATCATGAAAATCTGCGTAGTAAGAAACCCCAACAACAGACTGAGCTTGGCTCTCAGCTAACAAAGTGAAACAGATCACTCTCAAGAAAAAAAAAAACAAAAACAAAAACAAAAACAAAAACAAAAACAAAAACAAAAACAAACTAGAACAAGTATTTAAAGCTAAGGACATGTTGCAAGGGGCATTTAGTTAGGGGAGTCAAGGAGGGAGGGGTACATGGAGATCTAGGGGGGGTTGGAGGGGGGGCAGGGAGATCTTAACTTCCCGCTTCCCATACCCCTTACTCCGGTTATTGCTTTTTCCTTGGCAAGTCCGTCCTTCAGGTGCTTTTTCGGTATTATTATCTTTCTCTGCTTCTCGAATTCCCC